AAGACTCCTGGCATTAAAGGGAGCTTTGGTAAATGTGTGGGCAAAACAGATTCTAAATGTTCCACTGGAAAGTTATTCTGACCTCACAGCACAACTTAAATTATATTATTTTCTGAGGCTCTAAGTTGTTTATTCAAGAATCACAATTTGACTTTTATGGAAGATGAGAGAAGAAAGAATAAAAATTTATTGAGCACCTCCTAGGTATCAGACATTTTTACAAGTATTATTTCTTCTAATCTTCACAAAACCAAATTAGATATTGTGTTAGTCAGGGTTCTCCAGAGAAACAGAGAAAGAGAGAAAGAGATTTATTGTGAGGAATTGGCTCATGCAATTATGGATGCTGATAAGCTCCATGGTCTACAAGATGGGGACCCAGGAAACATGGTGGTGTTATGTAACTCTCCAGTCCTTGTCCAAAAGCCTGAGCACCAGAGCACTGATGGTGTGTGTCCCAGTCCAAGAGCAGGAGAAGACCTGCGTCCCAGCTCAAACAGTGAGGCTGAGAAAGCAAACCCTCCCTTACTCCACCTTTTTGTTCTATTCAGGCCCTCAACAGATTGAATGTAGCCCATCCACAGTGGGAAGGGCAATCTGATTTATGCAGTCTACTGATTCAAATGCTAATCTCTTCTGGAAATACCCTCACAGGCACACCCAGAAATAATGTTTAACCAGATATGTGGGCACCCCAAAACCCAGTCAAGTTGTCACATATAATTAAGCTTCACAGATGTTATCCTCATTTTTAGATGGGAAATCTGAGACTCAGAGCGTTAAGTAACTTGCCAAAGATACATAGATGGCAAGTGTTGGTCCAAGTTCAAATATATGACTTTCTAACCCCAAAGCACAACTTCCTTCTACTAAGCCAGTAGTTCTCAATCAGCATGATTTTGCCCTCCAGGGGACACTTGGCAACGTCTGGAGACATTTTTGGTTTTTGTAAGTGGCGGGGGATGGAGGACTTGCTACTGATATCTAGTGGGTAGAATTCAGGGCTGCTGCTAAACATCCTACAGTGCACAGGACAGTCCCCACAACAAAGAATTATCCATCCCAAAATGTTAATAGCACCAACGTAAAGAAACCCTACACTAAACTATGTTAATTTGTATTTTTACAGTTTTCCAAAACAGTAGAATAAAAATAATATGCTGATCTAAAATATGAATGACTACAGTTCGATAAATTTAATAAGTACTGGTGGAATGAATGAATGAATGTTAAATTCTGAAATATAGAGGAAGGAGACTACATTTTTCAATGACTCTTTACAATGAGCATTCATTAAGAGAATAAAATATTTTAAATTATCATCAATAATAGAGATGGAAAATAGATTCTACTTATTTACTCAAAGCATTAAATACCATACAGAAAATATTTTATTTTGAGACAAGAAAATCATAAAGTATATTTTTAGTGGGTTTAGTAGTTTAAAGAAAAAAAATAGCAGCAGTTTGTTGTTCATGGAATTCATAGAATTATTTCCAATTTTAGAACTATAAAATATTGGAGCTAGAGGATCATCTAGGTCACCCTCTTCATGGTCCGTCACTTAAGAAAACTGTGTCTAAGAAAGAACAAGTGACTTGCACACGGTTTCTTGGCCAGTTAAGGACAGTGTTGGAGCCAGAACCCGGCTCTACTAACAGTTTAATGCTTTTTTCATTCTAAGGTGTTTTTCAATAAAACTGAAGTGTTAGAGATGTGGGGGTGGGGGGCTGCATGTTTTTATTTCAACTTGTTCTTCATTCAAGGGAAATTGAATTTCTACACTTTCGCCTTGTTTATATTAACAAGCAATGGGCTGTCTCTGCTCGCCACAATCTGAGCCAAACCATCACAACGAGTTAGACATCGAGAAAGGAAGTTTTGGTTCTATTAGCCGGCATAATCAGGAAGATGGCAGACTAATGTTTCAAAAAACCATCTTCAAAAATTATAGAATCTTGAGGTAGTTATATAGGGGAAATGGGCAGTAAGGAGGGAATTTAGAAATGTCGGCCTTCAGGCATGACGGACTCCAGAATCTTTTGTTGTTCCTTTCTTCTGTCAGCGATGATGAATATCTTGTAGGTGTGTTTCCCACCTGTGGTCAGCCTGTTCCTGGAAAGAAACTCATAGGACAAAATTTTAATTTATCAAGCTATAGGGGAGTACACACGCAAGCGGAGGCCATAAATCAGGAGAGCATGTGAATTATTTTATAATTTTATTTGCTTATTTATTTTCCCCCCAAAGCCACAGTAGATAGTTGTATGTCATAGCTGCACATACTTCTAGTTGCTGTACGTGGGACGCCGCCTCAGCATGGCCAGAGAAGCGGTGCATCGGTGCGCGCCCGGGATCCGAACCTGGGCCGCCAGCAGCAGAGCACATGCACTTAACCACTAAGCCATGGGGCTGGCCCGTGAATTATTTTAGAGTACGTGCAGAGCAGTGAGTAGTCACACAAAGAGGGGCTGGGGCCATTGAGTGTAACAAGATGAACTCACTTATGTTCACTTTCATTTAGACTATAAAAAGCATTATTGAAAGGGACTTTTGATGTCAAATAGCCCAACTGACTTTCTATGTCTTTTTTCCCCAACACAGAAAAATGTATTAGCCATGTATGCAAAAGCTTAAACCTTAAAATGTTTGGAACTCTTTATTTAAAAATTGGAACTGAATTCTGAATTTTTCCCAATACTGGTTTTGGGATTTTTTTCCTTCTTCCCTACTTCTTTGTGTAAGAGGTAAATGGAGAACTTTATTTGCTAAAGAGCTGGGAAAGCACCAGAGCAAGAGCCAGGGAAGCTGGGTTCAAGCCCAGGTCCCTTTTGAACCGCTCTGTGACCTTGAGCACGCCCTGTCAGAGCCCTTCCAGGCCTGTTCTTCATCTGCCACATCATGGGGTTGTTGCAAAGATCAAATAAGATAATATCCCATCTGTAAATCTGTTTGGTAAACCCAAGGCACTTGATGATATAAACTTCCGGTATCTCTTATACACCATTACTAGTTCTAAATAATGTTTATTTAAAGATATAAATAATGTAACACACATTCCGCTGTTGGTACTCTGAATTTCTATGTAAGTTCTGTACAGCCATTTTCAGAGGGGCCTCTAAATTCCTCTAAAGGAATTAAATTTAAGTCTCCAAGCTGAGTAAATGTTATTTTCATTAAAATTAGAATAGATTAGTTTATTTAAGGTTATATAAGGTTATAAATGATTTGAGTTTTTCCCCTACATTCAATCCTGAATCACCTTCTATGTGCAGCTTTAGTCTCCATCCTTCCAACACACTGTTCCCTAGTCCAGGTGGCCCACCCTGTGGCGTTGGAATAGTGATAAAGGTGAAAATGTGTTCTTACTTGTTTCTAACATGATAAGAAAGTCTGTGCTGGCACCTATTGCCTCCTTTTCTTCAATATAACCTTTATTTGCTAATAGAGTTAGAACCAAAGACCCATAGTAATTTCTACGTGTCCTAAAAAATAATAATAATAGTAATAAATAAGGAGATATAAATCAGGTGAAGAAATGGAAATCGTCTGTTGATTAAATGGAACAAATGAAATATATGCATATATTGCCATTCCCTGCTAAAATTCCAGCATAATGATAGGAAAAGAAAAATAACAATATAAACACACAATGACAGAGAAAAAAAAAGGAGGAGACAAAGAAGACAAAAGATACCAGCAAATTTTTAGAAGATGGAAAGGAGTTGGAAGAACAGGGAAAGCTGAAGCCTAGGGGTTTTCAGCCAAGGGTGCCGTAGACAAAGAAGGCAATTCCCACTGCAGAACCCAGAAAAGTTTCAAGTATTGGAGGCACCAGTTAATTTGGAAGGCGAGATGAAGGTAGAGGCTAAAATCAGGAGGATTGGTTGAAAGCCTATCAGATAAACATACTTGAGACACTTCCTCATACCTGCACAGCCAGTGGACTTCCCATTTCACCCTACATAGGAAAGACAAGGTTATTCTCTGGCCCTGGACTTGAGACAGGCACAGTGGAGGGTGGGTTGTGGTGCCGTACAGAAGGCTGGGGACTAAGTGAGGGTCAGTGTATGCACTGAGACATCTCCAGACCCTTCACTCATTCATCTCCCAGAATGCTAGCAACCAAGCTTATACTCCCCTCTCCAAGGTAGGAGATACAAAGAACTTCTCTAGGAAAAAAATGTCTCCCCAGAAGGAAAGATCTGACAGTGACATTTGGGGTGCCCCATCAAAACCGTTAGGTTCCTGCCTCAGCCCCTCCGTGGAAGCTCTCCAAGGTGAAAAGTCCTGCCCTTGAAACTTCTAATTGGCTTTTTAGTGACTCACTACTAAATATTACTGGACAACCAAAGACATTAGAAATTTCAGAGAAGCTTTCAAAGAGAAAAACAAAGACCAAACCAACAACCAGGAAAAAAAAAGAATAATACGGAAACAGAAAATGCATGGTGCAGAGGCAATTTTAAAATGTATACACAGTGCCTACCAAACCCAACCCATCCACAGACCACCGCCAACTCACAGATGACCAGTGCAAGACCTCTAAATTAGATGGACATTGATGGCCCCTAAAGCCAGTGCCATGTCTCATTCCTAAGAACCTTCACTAAATATACGGGTTTCTCCACACCAAAGAGGCAATTTGTTGAAATATCATGTTACTTCACCTTGTGCCTTTTATCCTCACTGTGAACACTCACAAATCTTAAGACCCAAGATCTTCTTAGAGTCTTTATTCAAGGAAGCACAGTCATAAACAGAGATAGGCTCTGCTGAACACAGCTGGGCCAAAAAATCAAGGAGTCATTCTCACAGGGACACAATTGGGTAAAAACTGTCATTAATCTGTCTTTCCAGACATGTTAGTCCCCAAAGACGACAATCACCTTTAAATACAAAGGATGGTATCAAGCTCAACATTTACGAAGAAGATTACCTTTTAATCTTCCATGAGGAAAATATCACCCACCACGGCTAATTGTCTTCTTGGTTCACAGATCTGGAAAGCGTGGAGACGATGCTTTTTTTCCTGTACGTTTTGGGAGCCGCAGCTGCAATCCCGGTAAATACTCTCGCCTCTGTTATTACAGCTCTACCTCCCGACACTTAGTTTAGAAATCCTCCATTTACAAGAAAATGTTCTTATACAGTGGTTTGAAATTCTCTTTTTTGTTTTAATCATAATATTTTTTTGCCCCAGCAGGGAATGGATGACTAGAAAAGTTGAGATGCTATTTTTTAAAAATATTTCTTTCAGAACCATCAGATTCTACAAGATGCAGTAAATATGCAGCTGAAAGTGTTGATTATTAGTTTATTAGCCAGGGGATATGCCCAAATACCAAAGAGAACAGAAAGAAATAGATTCTCCTGTGGAAATTCAACACATTAGTCTAAGAACTCTAAGAAATTTGTTTAAGAAATCTTGGAGTGCACACCCGCACCGTCCAGCAGCACTTTCTGCAAGATCAAATACAGTCTGGCTGAGAAATTCTGAGTCTGTAATAAAAATGGGAACCGGTGGGTTGGGGGCAGGAAATGGTACGGTAAGCATAAATCAGCTCCTAGCTCATCCTTCAGCGTCTGTCCAAACAAACATGCTGAAAGCAGACAGGACTAGAACACTTTTTCTTCATGGTCAGGTATACTGGCCTTGCCATTCAGACAGCAATAAATCAGCCGTATACAAACCAGACCGTTTGAGACCACATCAGCAGCCTCACAATAACCTGGATGTTGAAAGAAAGAAAGAAATGAAAGAAGGAAGGGAGGGAGGGAAGGAAGGAAGGAAGGAAGGAAGGAAGGAAGGAAGGAAGGAAGGAAGGAAGGAAGGAAAGAAGGGAGGGAGGGAGGGAGAGAGGGAGGGAGGAAGGAAGGAAGGGAAAGAAAGCAAGAAAGAAAGAAAGAAAATAGAACCACAGCTTGGATGATCATTTAGATGTTCCCCCAAATGATCCGTACCATCCTTAATCAAACTAAAGGATCTGTGCCATTTTTTCTTTCTCACCACACTGAGGAATCAGCCTCTTTAAACACACAAAGCAGTTTATCTCTTGTCCCTTCTCTGACTCCCTCTCCATGCCTAAGATTCTGTCCTTGCTTTTTGGATAGCTGGTGGCTAGATTCTGGTTGACAGATGTGTCAGCAAACACAAACGCCCCGCCACCCAGACCAAGCAGTTCTTGGAAAACAGAATTTACAATCACCGCGGAGAATCATGCTTAAGTAGTGTGGAGCTACTCCAACTGAAATTATACATTGTCCTCTGAAATTACAAAAGTGGGATAAACGATGTTCGGCATAGAAAGGAGCACCCACAGAACCACTGTTTTCTCCTGAAAATGTGTTTTGCTCGTGCAGCTGTTGCCGCCATGTAAACAGGCAGCAAAGTGTCTGAGAACCAAATGTGTGAATGACACGCCTGCATATAGACACATCCCAGATGTTTCCTTTTTAGGACAGGTTGTTATCAAACAGACCCAGTCAAATGCTAAAAAGCTAAAACTCTTCTCATAGAATTTACCTATTAAAAATCTTGTATCATTTTCCCCTCCTCCCTGAATTCTCCAGAAATCAGTGGAGTCTGTGTGGTTAGGAGATTCCACACAGATGTCCAGAGGGTATGTTGTTATAAATATAGAAGGGGGCATAATGATAACACAGAATTTCATGTTCAGAAAATTTTCTGAAAGAAGATGAGCTGCCATGTTTTCTGCGCATTTCTTCCATTTTGGGGAGAGGGAATGAGGAGGAAGGGAGCAGAGAGGGGAGCAGTTCTCCACTGTAAACCTAAAATCTCCTCCATCCACTGCCTTTCATGATGCCCCTGCTGGCAACTTGCTAAACTGGCCATCATTCTTTCTCCTTTTCCCTCTTAAAAATAGCTTCCTTGAAAATTTTTTCAAATATTATTACTCCTCTTAGTTGAAAAGGTAATAAGAAGCAAGAAAGCCAATCGAATCTAAAATAAATCCTGTACTCCATGGCTTTCTGTATATTGCACAATCAGCACTACAGGACCTGCTAATGGAGTAAAGAGGAGTCAATGCAAATCGAATCTGAGTTTTATACTCACACCTGGATCTCTATGACACCTGGGTGTCCACAGCATCTCTCACATGAAGATCCACGGTGAACGCCTGCCTAGGATATCAGACAGTTCATCTTATGACCACTGCAGGATATTACCACTAGAAATAGTAATTTTTCACTTGGGTAACTCCTTAAAATTCACAAAATATTTTATGTACATAACCTTATCTTGATATTTCTGCTCACTTCACCTTGAGAAATGACAGAGTGATTAACAATTTGTCAAACCGCAGATGGATAGTAAATAGCAGAGTCAAGACTTGAAGGAGGGTCTCTCATCTCTAAGCCCAGTTGTTCAACTTCTCCATTACGTATCACTGTTCAGCTCTTCATCTATCTTGCTAGAAATAGACAGAGTCACCCATCCAGCAGAAATAATACTCCACAGCTGCTCTTCACTACTATACTTGGTGCCCTGTTTCACACAGCTTTTTAATTAGTTCTAGATTAAATTGTTTTTTATTGGAAGACTTTTTGATGGATATAGGGGTGATAGTGTTAAGAAAGTAAACAAATATTAAATAAAAGGTTTATAACTTTTTCTGCTAATTATCAGTGAGTACTTAAAAGTAAGCTTAAGAAAACGTACAATGCTATATCTTACTGTTAATTTAATTTGACTTCAACTTTCTGCTAAACAACATTTTTCAAAATTATAAAGTGTGAATGCTTTGTAAAAGTTTGAAAAACACAGAAAATAATTCCGAGACTCAAAGGTCACTATTCTCGATACCATTTTTGCTCTATTTTCACCCAGTTTCTGCATATATAACTTTTCTTAAACATGACTGGGATTCTGTTTTCACTTAAGATTATATTCTGGACATTTGCTTGTATCTTTTAAAATTCTAGAAAATATTTTTAATTGGTATTATAAATGAGGTATATTGCTACAAATAATGATGATAATAAAAGAGTAACTAGAAATTTAAATACTAACATCTAGATATGAATAACACAAACTAGTTTTAATTTTTTCAGACAAATGCAAGGTTCCTATCCGATCATTCTCAACCAACTGCTGATTCCTTGAGTTCCATCCAACAGGCTGAATTGTCGGTAACACCTGACAACACTGCAGTCCCCATTTTAAGGGTTGAAGATTCAGAAAATGAAAAGGAAACTGCAGTATCCACAGAAGACCATCTCATCCATAAGGTAAAAGTAGCATGGTTATGCTAATATAATTTTTAAATTCTCCAAAGGTCTCAATTTAAAAGCATGGTCAAAGATATTACCTCATTGTCATCTCTATTTAATTTCTTTAAAGATGATCATCACATCAACTCTCCAATCACTAGAAGAATTGTGAGAATTAATGAGTTTCACTCCTTTGGTTAAAGTGCTATATAATCATTGTATTTCATAAAATTCAAATTCAGGTAAAACTTGTTGCTATAGAAGGTGAAGAACATCATAAATAAGTTTATACGATATCAAGTAAGAAAAAGAATAATGAATATTAAATGTTGGCTTATGGATTGTAAATATGATGTACATATTAAATTATGATTTGTTTCAAGAATAAATATTGTTTCTTTTAAGGCTGAAAAATCTTCAACACTGAAGTCAAAGGAGGAAAACCATGACCAGTCAGCAGATCAGGACCAGAGTTACAGCCAAGAGCTGGGATTACAGGATCAAGAGAAAAGTGAAAGTGACTTCAGTGAGAATTTGGAGGATTCACCATCTGAAGATACATTGGGTCTAAAAGAAGATATAAGTGAGCCTCAAAAGAAACAACTCCCAGAGAACATTGATTTCCTCGCTCCTGAAGTTAGTTCCGTTGCAGACTCTAACCAACAAGAAAGCATCACGACAGAGAAAAAGCAAGAACAGCCTATAAATGATTCTCATGCTCAATCAAATGGGGGCAGCAAACGTAGCCAAGACTTAAGTGATCCGGGAAACCAGGAGCAGGATCCAAATATTGCCAATGGAGAAGGGGAAGAGGAACAAGAGCCAGGTGAAGTTGCTACCTACAATGACAATCAAGAAAGGGAGAGAGAATTTCCCAAGGAGCATTCTAACAGCAAGCAGGAAGAGGAGAATACCCAATCTGATGATATTCTGGAAGAGTCCAATCAACCAACTCAAGTAAGCAAGATGCAGAAAGATGAATTTGAGTGGAGTAACCAAGAACAAGAACAGAATAACTCCAATGCAGAAATGGAAGAGGAAACTGCATCAAAAATTAATAAGCACGATCAAGATACTGAATGGCAGAGCCAAGAGGGAAAACCTGGCCTTGAAGTTATCAGCAACCATGAAGAGATGGATAAAAAGGCTGTTTCTGAGACTTTGCTCGTAGAGCCTACTGATGATGGTAACATCATTGCCAGAAATCATGGGCCAGATGATGATGGTGATGATGGCCCCAGACATGATGAAAGTGATGATGACTACACCCCAAGTGAGGACTTCCTGGAGGCTGAAAGAGCTCAATCAATGAGCTATCACATCAAATACGAGGAGGAAAGAGAAAGAGCACTTGAGAATGAGAATGTAGACACCAGTAAACCTGGAGAACACCAAGGGGTGAGATATTTAAAATGATGCTTGTCCAATAAGGCAGTTCGCTTTATCAAGAAACAGCCATGACCTTTCTTTCCTCTCTCACAGTCTCTTGTGCTTATCTCTATCAGTGCATTACTAAAATATATTACAATTATTTATTTTCCTCTACATCTTCATCATTAGCCTGAAAATGCCTGTTTTATTTGGGTTCCCCTAGACGCAGACCCTGATTTTAGTGCAGTTTGAGGAGTTCAGGGAACAAACAGGAGTGGAGCAGTGACACAGGGAAGGAAAGGAAGCTAAGCAAAGGTACATCATTAAAACCACGTAAAGCACAGTCCTCTGATTATCCCATTTGGAGCGTAAGAGAGCTGAGGCATTTATACAGGCTGAGAATTGCTAGGAGGGGTGTTAATTCCCCAGCAATTCCAGTCTGTCATTTGAGCAGGCCAAATAGATTTCTACAGTTCTCCAGGCACAGAGATGCAGATGCTGGCAGTTGCAAGTCTCTGGAGCTAACTAGAATGGTAAATTCTGACAGATATGAAGGATGGGAGACACTGACAACTGCTCCTCTAATGCCTTGAGATCAGGTGCCATGTCATATTCAAGGTGAATCACAATGTCTACAAAATGCCTCTAACATAATAAAAGATTCAGCAATATTTGTTGATTTAGCTATAAAGATTAAGAACAAAGACTTCAGCTACAACTTTATTAAGCAAACACACAGAAAAATGATCATCAGGAAACTACAGCAGGTGGGAGCAGAGGAGAAGCATATTGTTATTTGGCTGTTTAATCATTTGGAGCTTTCACACAAAACCCTGGCAGCCAGCCTCCAGGAGGACTTGACACAGCTTTTGGTAGTCGAGGTCAAGAGTAACCTCAATTATTGAGGACTCGGTTGCTATGCTGAGGTAGGAGTTTTCTTACACTTGAGCAATCTTGACCAACAGCTCCATAGAGATTACTGATGTAACCATGTCTTCACTGCAGAACTGCATGATAATACTACATGTCTACTGTTTGCCCAAATCCAGAGGGGAGGTTCCAATTTTCACTCCTGATGTTAGTTCCAAATTTTATTAAGTAATCCCCTGAGATACAGTACCAAATTCAGTTAATGAAGATAGAAATGACTCCTGTTCTCAAAGAGTTACTGTCTATTTTCACAGTTGTGGCTGGCATCTCTTTTTGAGATCTGAAATGATTTGGGTATGAAAAGCTCTGTGAGAGTATGCACAGTGGAAATGTAAATTATGTAACAGCTTTCTTCTAACTAGACTTCAACTTCTGCTCTTGTTATTATAAAGTCCAAGAAAGCAGACAGCTTACCAAATGAGGATGAAAGTTCAAGTGAAGGCAACATGAGGGTGCACAGTGTTGGTGAGTATGGGCTAAGCAAGCTGTTTGTGACAATATCAAGGAAGAGATGGAATTGGCCACACTGGGCTATCCCCATCCCTTCATTTGTGACCACTGCACAGAATTTTTCCTCTCCCCAGTCCTCCCCAGGGAAATGCTCCCATAAATTGTTGACATTCTCTTGTGCACATTTGATATACAACTACAGGTAAATGTGTTTACAAACTGGAAGTCCTATTGCAATATTGCTAGAATTCTTTTTCTTTAAATCCTTTTGCTTCTGAGAAGAAGAATTAATTCTGCCTTATCCATAACTTACTAGTGAATTTAGATCCCATATTTAATTTTTTCTCCTCCCCAAAGCCCCAGTACATAGTTGTATATTCTACTTGTAAGTCCTTCTAGTTCTTCTATGTGAGCTGCCACCACAGCATAGCTACTGACAGAAGGGTGATGTGGTTCCATGACTGGGAACCAAACCCGGGCCCCCAAAGTGGAGCACACCAAACTTTAACCACTAGGCCATCAGGGCTGGCTTTCCCATATTTAATTAAGACCTAATTCCCAAGCACATACCCCAATCACAAACATTTTGAATTTCAACGCAATAAAATTATTTAACTTCTGACCAACTTGCACATAATTGCACTATAGACTTTGGACTATGACTATGGCAGGCGGGCCAAGAAGAGTTGTTTGTTCTTTTTAAATCTCCAATCCAAACTGTGCAGAAAATCTAGACTATTGTGTAAAATAGTCTGATGCCGGAGGGCCCCACCTAAAAATTAACATGTCCATTAAAATGGTTTCTAATATTTTCCCAAATTTCCTCTTATTAGTGAAAATGGAGCTAATTGTCAGGATGGATTTGAGTTTACACACTCAATTTAGTTTTGTCCATGTTTCCTGTCCAGAATTTCTCTTAGATTCTTGCCTGAACTTCCAGTGTAAAAGAGGACACATCTGTAAGGCTGACCAACAGGGAAAACCCCACTGTGTTTGCCAAGATCCAGTGACTTGTCCTCCTACAAAACTCCTTGACCAAGTAAGTATTCTACAAAATAGTCTCTAAGGGGCACCAAATAGTGATCTGAAAGAAAGAAGTGTGCAATTGAAATTTTTTGTTAAAAAAAAAGGTAAATGCCCATGTTATCATTTAATATTTGAAGTAATATTGAGTAGGAACAAATGCCAGCAAAATCAAAGAATTGTGCCCTAAAGAGGTAGTAATGGCATTGATCTGTAGAACTCATTTTAAAACTCATTCTATCCTTAGAACATCTGCAGTTGTCATTCTATTGAACTTATTTGAAGCTAAACTGTCATCTCCATTGGTATGATTTAGTTGACTTTTTTGTGCTATATGGGATAGTTATGATTTAAATAGCCTCACCCACCTGACCACGTCTGTGGCGCAGCACAGTTTATCAACAGCCTGAGCTGTAAGGAGCAGAGTGTTTTCCCAATGAACATTTGGAGGCATGAGCTTTTTCTCATGCTTTTCTTTCCCAGGTTTGTGGCACTGACAATCAGACCTATGCCAGCTCCTGTCATCTGTTCGCTACTAAGTGCAGACTGGAGGGGACCAAAAAGGGGCACCAACTGCAGCTGGATTATTTTGGAGCCTGCAAATGTAAGATTCTGTCACTGTTGCTGAGAGGGTTTTGGGTAAATCTGTGCATATCTGAAGAATATATTTACATACTCATATATATGCAAACAGGAAAAAGCTAATGCAGTTCTGAACCCAGGCTACACATTAAAATCAACTGGGGAGACTTAAAAAAAAAAAGAAGAAGAAGAATGCCCAGGCTTTAATTATAAGAGATTCTGATTTAATTGGACTGGGTTGGAACCTTGGTATTGTTTTTTCATTTGTTTTTAAAGTAACCTAGACAATTCTAATGTGCAGCCAGGGTTCAGAACAACTATGATAACGTTATCCACTCAATAATTGAGATGAATCATTGGAATTTTGCTAAATTATTTGTCCTCTTCCCAAGTTAACTTAAGCCTCGGCCAAGCAGTTTTATGACAACATATTCTTCCAGAAGTTTTTTAAAATTGTCTTCCTTCCCCAGGATCCTCTCAATTGTGTTTGTATCTCCTCGTCGCTAACTGATTCTCCACATTAGCAGTGCTCAGACATATTTCGGTTCTTCTCTCCTTCCAAACACATAAGAGGATTAAACTTCTCAGCCCCTTTGATGTTAGATGTAGCCATATGAGTTGCTTTGTCCAATGAAATTTGAGCAAAACTCATCCATGTGAGTTCTGGGCAGAAGCATTTAAGAGTTGGCATATGGTTCTCCATGTTCCCTTCACCTTGTGTTGAGATGGTGTTGAGATGGTGGAGTCTCCGTCCTGAGTCTCCATCATCCCAAGCCCCAAAGAGCCCTCCTACCAACTTGTATTGGACTTGTAGCAGGATCAAGAAATAAACTTTTGATGTAATGTACAACATCATGACTATAATTAACACTGGTGTATAGTATATTTGAAAGTTGCTTAGGGAGTAGACCCTGAAAGTTCTCATCACAAGGAAAATAAATTTTTTTTGTAACTATATGAGGTGATAGATGTTAACTAAACTTATTGTGGTAATCATTTCACAATATATATATGTCAAGTCATTATGCTGGACACATTAAACTTATACAGTGTTGTTTGTCAATTATATCTCAATAAAACCGAAAAAAAAAAAAGAAATAAACCTTCATGCCTTTAAGCCACTGAGATTTAACATTACTTGTCTACAGTATAAGCTAACATCTACCTTTTTTCTCTTTTCCCCTAATAAACGGGTCTTGTGTCCTCCACCTCTAAATTCCAACTCTCTGATTCTAGATCTGTGGTTCTCCACCCTGGCTATACATCAAAATTACTTTTGGGCTTTTAAAACATCCTGACACCCAGTATCCACCCCAGACTAATCCAATCAGAATTTTTTTGAATGGAAGGTGGTATCTGGTATGTTTTTAAAACATGCTGGGCAATTCTGTTGTGCTGCCAGGGTTAAAGACCACTGTTGTGACGGTGGGGCAGTGAGGATGCTGTCAGTCACCGGAAGTTGTTAAGCTTCCTGTTATGAGGGCTTGCCATAGGAGAGGAGTTAAGACCCGAAGATTAAAACCTATTTACTTTCTACTTGCAACAGCTATTCCTGCTTGTACGGACTTTGAAGTAATTCAGTTTCCTCTAAGGATGAGGGACTGGCTCAAGAATATCCTCATGCAGCTTTACGAGCCTAACCCTGAACATGCTGGCTATCTAAATGAGAAGCAGAGAAATAAAGTAAGATACCTATGGGTCGGCTATGTAAGTGTCTGTCTGCAGGGCCTGAGGGAAAAAGGTGTGTGTGGGAGCCGGGCGCTACCTCCATCTGCATATCGACAAAAGCCCACTTTGCCTCCCCCGGCCTGGTAGCATATATGGATTAACAGAATAGTTGTGGTTACCATTCATGCCACAAAGTTTGGGACACGGCCAAACCACCCCCTTCCTAAATAAAGAGCAGTGGCCCGAGCAAGGGCTGTTCAACTCATACCTAGAACAAGCTCTGGTTGAGCAAAGTGAACCATATTCAGCATTTGTATATTTAGGCCCAGATATGTTATTTAAATCTAAACATCCTTTTTGCCCTCATAGGCCAGACATAGATTTATACATAAGGGAAATCCATTACTCACAATGTTAGTAATATATTAAGATTAAAAAGTGCAGAATACTGATTCCAGAAGTTCCCAGGGACGATTCATTCATCGGATAGTTATTGAATGCATCCTAGGTACCTGGAATTGATTTACATGCTAGAGATACAGCAATGAACCAAACAAAAATCTCTGCCTTCATAAGCTTACATTCTAGGCAAGGAGACAGACTTTGAACAAAGAAGTGTATACATATATATATGTGTAGATATGTATGTAGATATATATATTTATATGTATGCATATATGCAAATATGAACATACATGCAAATAAATATTTATGCAAATATATGTATAAGATATATCAGATGGGATTAAATGTGCTATGAAGACAAAATAAAACAAGAAGGAGAGTGTGCATTAACTGTGTTAAATGCTGTTTACAGGTTGTAAAATGAGGACTGAGAGTTGGCCACTGGTTTGGCATGTGGTGGTCGTAGTTGATCTCGACAGGAGCTGTTTCTGCAGAGTGGGGAGCAGAAAAGCCTGAGTGGACAGGGTTCAAAAGAGAATAGGAGGAAGAATGTGGAAGCAGCAAGTATAGACCATATTCTCAAGACACTTTGCTGTAAAGGAGAAAAGCGAAATGAGGTGGTAACTGGAGGGGAATGTGAGTTTAAGAGCCCCATCCGCCAGTCAGAGATGGTAGAGGATGTTTGTATGCTTCTGGAAATAACCCAGTAAAGAAGGAAAGGTGCCCAGCTGCCATAGGGTATTCTTGAGTAGATGAGAAGGGGTGGGCTCCTGAGCACTAGTGAGGGGTTGGGCTTAGATTAGGAGCACAGGAAGTTCATCCATGGTAACAAAGAGGAAAGTTGGTAGTTGTGGTCATGGGAACAGGTAGAACTTCTGTTCTGATTGCTTCCAATTACTCAGTGAAGTAACAGGTAACCTCACAAACTAAGAATTTTATATACATTGCCCAAAAAATAATTTCTATCCTGTCTCTTTAATACATTGTCACAGAGAGCCTTGAGAGCATTAGACCCAAAACAGAGAAAATTCAACGGGGGTGGCCGAATGGTGTCACACCAGGGCTAAACTGAGACTGAGCAGGCACTGGGTGGAAACACATAGAGGATTAAGAACGGATTATGCCAGTGGGGGAAGAGCAGGACTTTTCACTAACTAACCAGGTCAATTCAGCCCTTTTCATTAACACCTCATAGTTTTAAGGAATGCAATGGACATTACTTGATTAAAAGAAAAGATGAAAAAGGACTTAAATTTCTTCTGAAAACCACAGGGTTTTTTTTTTAATATTAGCTGTTATTCTACGTAGAAATAAGAATGGCTCTAGTATTGGTTAAAAGGCATTTAATTTGGTCTCATAGGATGGCCTGGGCTTGTTTTCCTCTGTCATATTACTGTTACGCTTCAAGTAAAGTTTAGCAAGTTGTAATTCCATTACACTTGTCTTATTCTCTGATAGTCTTCTCACTTCCTAATCCCAGGTCAAGAAAATTTACCTGGATGAAAAGAGACTCTTGGCTGGGGACCATTCCATCGACCTTCTCTTAAGGGACTTTAAGAAAAACTACCACATGTATGTGTATCCTGTGCACTGGCAGTTTCATGAACTTGACCAACATCCTATGGACAGGTAAAGTCTCTTTACTTCTCCATTACTATGTCATCTCCCTGATAGAATGTCTAGTTATTTATACCAAAAGAATTCTAAACAGAGTTAGGAAATTTCCCAGTTCCATCTTAGAACACTGAAATGCCAAACAAATGTCGTTAGGTGTCTAAACACAAAACTGCTTTGAAAATCACAGAATATGGCCACACCACAGCTCCCAAGTTTACATGTTAGGGTCCAGCCTCCCACAGAGACTCCTTCAACTCTTTCTCATTCTTATCCTAAATTCCGAAGATAATCTGATTGGCCCAACTTGGGTCAAGTGCCTACATCTACGTACCTGGAACAATCAGGTATAGCCAGTGGGTAAGAGCCAGGTTGTACAAACGTGATTGCTGGGTTGCACTCCTATAAATTTAGGGTGGAAGGAAGACAGTTCCCAGTGAAGAAGGAAACCTTGTGAACTGACATTTCAAAAACCGTCTATTTCACCCATAAATAGTTTATGTCATTTGGAGCTTTTCATGAATGTACTATTTATTCGGCATATTCCACAACCTCATGGAAGAAAAATGTCCTTGGTGATCCCAAGAGTTAACTTTCATACACGAGCTACTCAGTTAATAGGCTGCCATTTATTTCATTGCAGAGTCTTGACACATTCCGAGCTTGCTCCTTTGCGAGCATCTCTGGTGCCCATGGAACACTGCATAACTCGCTTCTTTGCTGAGTGTGACCCCAACAAGGATAAGCACATCACCCTGAAGGAGTGGGGCCACTGCTTCGGAATTAAAGAAGGTAAACTTATCATCATCCCAGGGAGAGAGGTGTCCTCTTGTCCAGATAAGCCCTAAGCCCTCAGCCCTCATAGAGTAGTCCCGCTGTGTGTTCAGATTGAAACCTAGAGACAGTAAGGTGGCAGTGTCCCAGGTAGGACTCCCTCCATGCCCGTGCTGTCATTGCAGGGTTATTTCTCACTTCCTTTACGATACTGTGTTTTCAAAGGGTAGCAAGGGTCTTAGCAAGACTTAACTGCACTGAGGCCTTCGCAGTTGGCTAAGCCTAGGAAAAGTATGTGAATCCAGAGAGTTGCACCAAATCTCAGAAAGCTACCCTTCTAAGGAAGGAAGGATTTTATGTCCTTCCTTAACCTCTGTATTGGGCCAAACTTTTAAAAATCATATGTGAAGAGCAAGCCTGATTCAACCAATGGGAGATGTCAGAAGAATCTTAGAATTCATCACCAAGACACAAAAGATTGAGCCTTACATCACAAGCTGTGTCCAGCTATTATTCCTTTAATCCAAAAGTCACCCATTACTGCATTTTCAGTGACAAAAAAAAAAAAAAAGATCAGAGGGTTCTTTCTTTACTCCTAAAGTGGAGGAATTTAAATTTAGACATTTGTTTTACTAGAATATGTCTTAATTTGCTTCCTTTTCTTTTCCTAAGTTAGAGTTGATTTTTATGGGCAAGCATGTTTTCATAATCAAGATTTGAAAAATGTTCAAAAAATGAGCAATCAAAACTACTTGCAGAATGTAAATCAACGGTGAACATGAACTCTCTGAAGCAGAGGTTTTATACGTATGTTCACAACATACATGTGGGATGAATATGCAGCCATGTGGTAGGGAAAAGTTCATTAAAGGTCAGAATTTCCCCAAAACAGGTAACTTATGTGACCTTCACTTTAAAAATATTCCTCACGCAAGTGTATAATGCCTTGAAATTAGAAAGAACTGAGAATATGAGGATTTAGTTATTTATTGATAAATAGGTAAGCAGAAAATGTTAGTCCTTTCTCTCTACAATATTATTCTGTGAAATAAGCTCAACTGTAAGGAGCAAAGAATGTATATTTTGGTAAGCATCTAGTTCTGTGTATTAATTGTCTATTACTGCATAGCAAATTACCCTAAAGCTTAGAAGCCTAAAATCTCTCTCACAGTTCCCAAGGGTCAGGAATCTGGGAGTAGCTTACCTGGATGGTTCTGGCTTAGCATCTGCTCCAAGCTCACTCACATGGCTATTGTCAGGAGGCTTCAGTTCCTCACCATGTGGTCCTCTCCATAGGCCTGTTTATCACATGGCATCTCGTTTCCTCCAGAGTGATCAGAGAGAGAAATAGAAAATCCAGGGCCAGCTCCGTGGCATAGTGGTCAAGTTTGGTGCTCTGCTTTGGTGCTCTGTGTTCGTGGATTCAGATCCCAGGCATGGACCTACACTACTCATCAGCCATGCTGTGGCAGTGACCCACGTAAAAAATAGAGGAAGACTGGCACATATGTTAGCTCAGGGCTAATCTTTCTTAAGCAAAAAAAGAGGAAGACTGGCAACAGATGTTAGCTCAGGGCGAATCTTCCTCAGCAAAGAAAATAAAAAAGAAATAGAAAATCCAAGACTGAAGCTGCAATGTCTTTTATAACCTAATCTCAGAAGTGACACACCATTGCTTCTGCTATATTCTGTTGGTCATTCAGACCACCCCTGCTACAATGTGGGAGACTACAGGAGGTGGGGATCCTAGGGCCATCTTGGAGATTGGCAACCACATACTATTTACACCTTGTTAGCATTAATAGGAAATCAACAAGCTATTAAGACTCAGACTCATATAAATAATGCCAGTTTCCTTTCTGACATCTGTTCTATAAACACAATACTTACACAATGGCTAAAACTGTCTCTTCCAATTCCCGTGTTAAAAAGACAAATGTAGGGCTGGCCCCGTGGTTTAGTGGTTAAGTGCACGTGCTCCACTGCTGGCGGCCCGGGTTCGGATCCCGGGTGCCCAGCGACGCACCACTTCTCTGGCCATGCTGAGGCCGTGTCCCACATACAGCAACTAGAAGGATGCGCAGCTATGACATACAACTATCTACTGGGGCTTTGGGGGAAAAAATATAAATAAATAAAATTATTAAAAAAAAAAAAGACAAATGTAACCAAGTACAGCTGCCCTGCCCCCTCCATACCACCACTATCAAGACGGGAAAAACTTAGCTGGGACAGGACATATTTATGTATGCCCTTTTATGCGGCACATGATTTTAAAGGAGTGATCAAAAGGTAAATTCAAACAGAGGCCGTTTATTTAAGGAAACCAGTTGTGCTTCAGTGCTCCTTTTGAAACTTCTGGAAGCTCTTCAGCATGTAGGTTCACTCAGGCTCTGGGCTGGGCAGTTGTCTGGGAAGAGCAGGAAGGGCTTCAAGCTCATTGACTCGGAAAGCTCCTAATGATCTTGTTTGTTCCCTGTGGTTTGGCAATGATTACATTATTTTGAAGACAGGAAAGAATTATACATAGTAAGCCAATAAAGCAGATATTAAATATTCAGTCAGAACAAGTAAACAAGGTACTACTTTGGGACGCAGCTATGGAAAGCAAAAAAATATGTATCTCTGTAATCATATCTTTCCTTCCCTCAGGGCTGAGAAATCCATAGAACGACAAGATCAATTTTAGCCAGTGTTGTCCTGAATTTTAATTGCCTTTGGTCTGAAGTAGATGTGCTTGAATATGCCACCTCTGTCATTAATTAGCTATGTGAATTAGGGTGTGCCACTTATTCTCAGCAAGTCTCATTTTCCTTATGTGTAAAATGGGGGTTCTATTACGAAATGGAAGAATCTTATTTATTTAGTGGTACCCTATATTGACATATATCCACGTCGATCTTTAGAAAAACCTTCCAAGTGAGGCTAATAGGGTAAACAAGTCAGATCATGCAGGTCCTACTAGCCAGTTAAAGACATTATCCTAACAGTACTGGAGGATCACCAAAGTTTTTAAACAAGGGAGAGATTTCACTGGATTTGTATTTAAGAAAGATTCTTTTGGTTACACTGTGGAGAAGCCAGAGATGGTTGAGAGGATGTTGTGGTAAATTCAGGCAACAGTTGATGAGAACTTGAACTAGGGCAGTTACATTGGGGAAAAAGAAAAACAAACATATTCAAGATATTAAAGATATTAAAAAATATAAATGTATTCAAGATCAACCCAAGAATATAAACATATTCAAGATGTGTAGCATGCAGAAATAATAAGACGATGTTTGACAGGAATATATGGAGGCAGGGAGCAGACAGTTAAGAAACTGAGAGAAAGGGGAGTACAATGCCTAGGTTCCTGGCTCGGGCCAGGCAGGGTAAACAGAGATACCTTCCACTAAGATAGAAAACACGAAAACAGAAGCAGATTTGGGGGAAATGATAGGTTCCATTTTGGACAGGTTGAATTGTGAAGTACTTGGAAGATAATGTACAGTTGATAGAGATATGGGTCTGCTTTTCAAGACAGAGTTTGGGAATTGAAATACCCGTTTGGAGATTATGAGCATACAGAAAGTAGTTGACACCAGGGAAGGGAATTAATTCCCCAAGGAAAATGTGTTGAGTTACACGAAAAAGGGTCTAGGGTTAAACACCAAGGAACAACAACATCTAGACAATGGATAGAGGAGGATGAAGGAGTTCACTAAGGAGAATAAAAAGTCTCCTGAAAGGAAGAAAGAAAAATGGATAGTGCCATGTCTAAGGAGGTGTTTCAAAGAGGAGGAAAATATCACAGTGCCAAATGCTGCTGAGATGTCAAGTAAGAATACTGGCTGGATGTAGAAATAAGGATATCCTGGGTGGCCTTGGTAAGAGCTTTGGTGGAATGGTAGTGGTGGGAGCTAGATTCTATCGGTTGAGAAAGAATAGGAGATGAGAAGGGGTAAAGAGTGAGTGTTTGACGGCAGGAAAGAGCTAGAGAGAGCTATAGAGTAGAGAAAAACATTTCGGGGAATAAAAGAGGCTTAAGCACTCACTCATTCACTCATTCATTTATTCACTCAACAAATGTTTACTGATGGTCCACATCGTGCCAGGCACTGTTCTGGAGGCTGGATATGCAGCATATTTAAACACTAATGGGATAGGCCCAGAAAAAAGGAAAAGTTGAGGATGTAAGGCAAAAAAAAAGAGGGAAATAAGGGGAGAATCTCAAGAAGATCAGAAGAGATCCTGGGCACAGGTAGAGGATTATTAGGCTTAAAGTCAATAGGAGGCACATCTCTCATTCAAACAACAGAAAGAAAACAAAAAGTATGAGCGCAAATATAAGTAAGTTTATAAGTAATGAGACTGTTATCCCACTTTTTCAAAAGAAGCCAGTGCTCAAAAGAAATATATCGAAGTCCATAATCTGTCCCACTCTTGGGACCAGATGAAGACTTATATTGGGCAGGAAAATTACCTCCTGTCTGAGACAGGGTAGTAGTTTAGTATGCTTCTAATTAGTCTGCTTGAAATATTTCTTCAACAGTTAATTGAGTGAGGGTGGGCCGTGCTGGTAAGGCGTGGTCTCATGTCCTCCGGAGGATGCTGTCTTCTTCCACAGATGTGGCAACAAGTTCTTGAGAATTACTTGATTGGAAACTTGACTTAACTGGCACAGTACTTCTATTTATGTCTATTATATTTTAGCAACCCTTATAGGTTAGTATACTGGGCACTTCTTGGCTGAGCCTCCCTTCAACCTCCTTTATCAGTGGTTCTCAACCGTACATCAGAACTACCTGCAGAGCTTTCTAAAAGTATACAGGCCATTGACCCACCCCTGGGATTCTGATTCAGGAGGCCAGGAGTCAGGCCTGAAACACATATTCTCAAAAACTTCTCGAGTGATGTTGATGCCCTAGCAGGGTTGAGAACTGTCGTATTAGATGGCTTCCCCAAACCCCCTGCTCTAACATTTTTTGTTTATATTGCTAATCTGGCTACTTTCTAAAAGTGCATTTTGTGTTGTTTTTGTTTTTTACAGAAGATATAGATGAAAATCTCCTGTTTTGAAATAAGATTTGAAAGAACTCAAACTTTCCAGCATCCTCCTCTGCTCTGACCACTTCTGAAATATATGCAACCTTGATACTTGTAGATTTATATTTAGCAAAATGTTTGCATGTCTGAGAAGACAATGAGAGTAATTGCTTGATAACAGTATATGCACCGGATATTTAACATTAACTTTGGAAATAAAACTTTAAAATTAAGTAAAGTCGGGTATGCAAAATACTGTACACTGTTTGTGAACAGGAGTTTGACTCAACACTCTCAGCATCCATTTATGAGATACTTACTAATTATGAAACTTGAAAAAATAATACATTCATTTTGTCCGTAATATCATGTGCACTTCAAGAAAATGAAATAATGCTCTTTTGTTATTAATGTGTATTATTTTCAATATCTTAATATCCTAATAAAAATCCATAAAAATCCAAATGGTCATTCAAGTTTATTTCTAGTCATTTATTTAAACAATTGTATGTGAAAGACTAACTCAAGGCTCACACTTCATATCAAATTATAATTGTGCTTCCTAGACCGTACTACTTAACAAAAAAAGTGTGAGTGTGGTTGGGGGAGACATTTCCTACGGGAAACAAACATTCAGTTGTTAAATGGTAGTTGCTCATGAATGTCCTTTGTCATAATGTAAGTTTAAGCAGAAAAAAAATTTGAATTCAAGTGCTCTTTACCAAGTTCAGCTAAAAATATGGATGATTACACACTGCTAGATACAACTAATTCTAGCTCTTGTGCAGCTGAGCATGTGAGTCACGGTAGAGGGAGGCCCCGCAAAATTTCTGTACATTTTATGTCCTCAAAAATAAAGGTAATGTAATAATGACACAGAAAATGTCATGATGTCCAGTGGAGTCAGAGATAATATTACTACTGTAAATTGGTAGCAAGAAAATGTGTCATAAGAGAAAATTTGTATTTTCCTTTGAGTTCTTCTTTGGTAACTATTAATACAGTAAAAGCTAGGTTGCAAAAATATAAAAGACACCATAACAGAGTTTTCCAAGGTCTGAAGCAAGAAAATAAAAGAATCTGTCACACGCTTTATTCTCCTTAAAATATTTGAAAGAAAATAAAACGGTTTTTTACATATTTTCCCATCTGAAATGGAAATCAAAGCAATTTTCGATTATTTTTTCAAATAATCAAAACTTCGTTGTTGTTAAGAGCCTTATCTGTGGCAGTCACTGAGGGAATGTGCCCCTAGGAATTTTATTTGAAAAACTTTTGGAAGAGTGTATTTTTTATCAGAATAATCTTCTCTGATTAACTTCAAAATTGTGTTTATTATCATTTTTCTTAGCTCAATGAGTCACTTGTTCTTAACTAGACCACATCACACCATGTCATGTCTAAATAATTAAGTTCAACTTGATTAATCAAAATCTAAGTATTATTTATAATTTTTTCCAACTAGGAAAATAATATTAGAAATTATTCCAAAATTCAAAATGTTTTTGTGTGTAGCTGCAAAGAAATGTCATGAGAGGTCTTAACGAATTAGAAACTGAGTTTCTAATTGTAAATTTGTTGAGAACAGTGAAATTATATTTGGAGGCATTAATTGGACCTAAATTACCATTTTAAGTGTTTTAAATATTTTAAATGTTTTGAAACAGTGAAAAATGATTTTAATGCTAAGGATATTACCTGAATGTTTATTTTAAAATATTTTGTTTGAAAACGATATTCATTTTGAGGTAAAAATATTATTTAATAAGAGAACATTTTATTTTTTATTTATTTATTTATTTTGTGAGGAAGATCAGCCCTGAGCTAACATCCATGCTAATCCTCCTCTTTTTGCTGAGGAAGACTGGCCCTGAGCTAACATCTATTGCCAATCCTCCTCCTTTTTTTTTCCCCTTTTTCTATTGCCAATCCTCCTCCTTTTTTTTTTTCCCCTTTTTCTCCCCAAAGCCCCAGTAGATAGTTGTATGTCATAGCTGCACATCCTTCTAGTTGCTGTATGTGGGACGCGGCCTCAGCATGGCCAGAGAAGCGGTGCACCGGTGTGCGCCCGGGATCCGAACCCAGGCTGCCAGTAGCGGAGCACACACACTTAACTGCTAAGCCACAGGGCCGGACCCTAGAACATTTTAGAACCTTAAATTTTCTATCAGTTAAGGCTCCCATGTATAGAGCTGGCCTGGATGATATATTGTAAAAGCACTTTAATATTCTTGGTGGTCACAATTTTTAATTATGGGTTGTTTGTCATAAAAAGTTACTCTAATCTCAGCCAAGGAGATGAAGTTATCTTCTGAGTAATCAGTCTTTAAGCCTATCTCTGTGTAATTGAGATACTTTAGAAGTTGGATTCCTAGACTAGAACCAATCATTCAGTTCAGCTTTGAATTTTGTGACTCATTGCCCATGACCATAAAGGCATTAGTAATATGGCTTAAATACTAGACGGGAATAGCGATGCTAGGAGATCACACTGCTCCTTGGATTTGTTGCTCCGAGGACCATTTGAAGCAAAGGTAATTGAAAAGACACACAGTATAATTTGGACTGATTCTATGCCACTAGGTAAAAAAATGTAAGGTATTCTTGTGTTGGGTAATTTAATGATTTCTAATAGGTCCACTTATCAAAGGAAGAAAGAAATTCAAGGGTTTGAATCCAGAAGAAAGAAAACTACAAAGGAGGAAAATGAAAAAGAAGAGAAAGGGAGATAAGTTGCCTAAATCCAGGCAAAGTAAAATAGTGTGAAGATAAGTCAGATTTGAATTTCAAATACATATAAAATAGTTGAAGAGTAACTTATATATAAAGAGATGTAATTTGCTTCAGATGCTAGGGACAAGTCTTATTAAGAATATGATGAAGTTGATTTTCTTCCAAAATTCTTCCAAAATTTGGATTTCTTCCAAAAATCCACTGTACTTCCAGAGTACAGTGATTTGGTTTGAAACTCAGAAGGTAAGTTAATTTGAATTAATGTGATTTAAAAACATAAAAAGGTTTGCTTTCAGAATCAGCAGGCCAGTAAAGATCACATTGATTTCCTTTATTGAATTTACTCATATTGTGCCTATTCTCTACCAATCCATTATGCCTTACAAGGTTTTTTCCATATCATGTCCTTCTTGAGAAATTATAATTGTCAGTAACAGCATCCAGACCAGGTGAAGGCCTGGTAAGTCTCGTAGCGGTGGAAGCTCAAGGTAGGTTTATTTGCGTATTACTTAAGAAATCTCATTTGAGCCAGTGGTGATACATCCCTAATCCAAAGCATGATATGACACTGGTGTTTGAAGATTTCTGAGTAGAGATCACAAATTCAAATAACTTCAGGGACCAAACAGGTTTAGGTTAACTGTGAGATTATAAGGAAGAGCAGGAAGTGTAGGCGACGTTATGAGCCAGAGAACTCATGTCTTGTTTGAAAGCATTCCCAGTCTTTCAAAGCACTGTTCTAGGCTTACAAAACCTGAATCTGGAGGCAGATGTGAGCGTGGCCACATTTGAACACCTCTAACTCAACAGTCTACTTGCAATGGGAATAAGACTTACATAGAAAAAACTAAAAATGATCTCCTTCACTTCCAGACTCTTCCTTCAGAATGGAATTTCTCGCCCTGGCTGGCCTTTTGAGCTCAGCCACCGCACTGCCCACCCCTGTGCATACCCTCCTCAGTTGTCCACTCCATTTCCGTTTTAGAGACATCGTATTTCTGGACTAGAAAGCATTTCTTGTATCTTTTCATTTTGCAAAAGAGGACAGTGGAGTACAGGAAAGTTGTAGACCCAGGAATTGACCACGATTCCTCAGCCCAAGGGTCTTCCCAGTACAAATTCCAGCTCCACGGGCCATTTGCTAGCTGAGTGACCTTGAGTGAGCAACTAACCCACGGCCTCTCTGTCTGTAAAATGAGTTTTAGGAACTACCTCCGAGTTGTGTGAGGATGACAAACATGCATCTAAAGCACTTGAGTCCTAACGGGAAAATAGAAGCTCATAAATAAACTTAGCAATGTAGAACAAGTGACTTAGGTCTGAATTCCGAGGTTTGAATTGAGTTTCATTTACAATACCCTCACCCCGAACCACCTCCTGTTGACTGTAGCCATGCCTTCTACATCTACACAAATGAGATCTAGGAGTCTAATCCGCGTTTAGTATAGTCTAACTAGGTAGGGCACCAAGTAGGTAAGAAACACTCTCTCCTGCACATTTTGTAACAAAGGAGCTTTCAAAGCAGTGAGGGAGCTTTCAAAATTTGTGTTTGGGGATGCAAAATTTAAATTTACACTTCCACACTCTCTTTACTTTGAACGTATAAATGCTGAGAACTAAATTGAAAACACTGTTGATTTGAAGATAAGAAGACACACAATATGTAATTAATCTTAAAAAAAAAGGTAAATAAAAACACTTTGGAAATAAGTTTAAAGGTGAAAAAATAAAAAATCAGTGGACAAAATTAATTCAACTTTTCCCTATCGGATACTTGACTGCTTTTTATTTCAGAGGTGAAGCTACCTCGTTGTTGGATATAATGCTCAATAGTGGCTTGTTATCTCTTCTCATTTAGAATAATCTCTTTGTAATGAATCAAGTATTGCAATATGTTGCTTTACCTTGTTGCTGTTATTGTTTTACAAGCTTGAACAATCTGGAGGAAGTTCCAGTGGACAGGTAAACTTCTAGTTATATTTTCAAATGACATGTTCATCATTTTAAAAGTTTACAATTGCCTGAAATGATTGACATGTTTCTTTTTACAGAGATTTCACTTTTACCCACCACAAGGACCACCATTTTTTCCTCAAATCCCATTTCCCCTACCTCCACAACTGCCTCTGGTGAGCCCAGGTTTGGGGAGTCTCAAGTTGTGACAAGTATTTACTAGCTGGATGACGGTTATGAAATTTTCCAAATTTGATACAGAAAGATGAGGTTTTAAGAGGTCACAAGGCATCAGCTATTCATGCTCCCCTCCCCTCAGAGCTTGTGGTGGAGTGTGACAAGGGACTAACAAATGTCCCTCCAAGTCTTCAGTGACTTCCTCCAATGTCTCTCTACACTCATCATCAAAAAGGTGTTTAACCCAAATTACCTTGGCTATGATGAGCCTAGTTACTCTTCATGAAGAGAATACTAACCTTTTTCTATAATATCTATTCTTGTTCTTTTCCTAAATCACCTTGCTGCTTTCTTTTCTCTAAAAAGTTTTTTTCCAGCTCTCTGTAACTTTTTATCACTGGTCAAACAATATAATTACTTTGTTCTCCTTATTGGACCCTATTCAATCTCTCCTAACATCTGGATTCTTATAACATTTTTTAATAAAAGCCAGAAGAATGCTAAATACGTAATGAAATTGCTTTTATTCTATATGTAATACTTTTGTTGGTACAGACAGATAGCATTTATTCAGTTAATGTTTATTGAGTGTCTTCTATATAAT